ACTTTATTATTTTTGTGACCAGTTTTTTCTGTATGTATTTACTCTTGAAATATCACAAAGGTGATATGTACATGTAATTTTTTATTTTTGTAGATTCTTGAAAGTTTGTGTTCATCAGGGTTCTAGGATCTCTTGTAACCCTTTTCATGCTCTTTGGGTAATTTCATCCACTCCCATGGCTTCAATTACCACCTATTCTCAGATGACTCCCAAATTTGTACCACCAATTAAGAATTCTTTCCTTTACTAAGATACATTTGACATATCCTCCTTAATTCATCTGGCCTCCAGACATCACCACTTAGACCAGATTTTCTCAACTGCAGCACTACTGACATTTTGGCCAGATAAGTCTCTGTGTGGGGACTGTCTTATGTATCGGAGGGTGTCTAGCAGCTTTCCTGGCCTCTACCCACTACATGCCCATAGTACCCTTCAGATATTGCCAAATGTTCTCTGAGGGACATTGTCCCTGTTTGAGAACCACTGTTTTAGACCTGCTATAAACATTTAAAACAACTTAGATAAATCTAACTCTTCTTCCACCCCCCAAACTTGCTACTCCCTCTGTATTCTCCATCTCGGGAATGCAAACTTCCATCCATCTATACCTACCAAACCTAGGAATTATCTTTGTCTGTTATACCCTCATCTCTCAAATCTACTCAGCAAATTAGTAAATTTTACACACTTAAAATTGTTCAAATTCTTTCATTCTCTTCATATGTTTTAGGTAGCAAAAAACCAGGTATGATGGGGACAATATAAATGAATGAGAGACTCCAACTACAAACAGGAGAGGGGAAAAACCTCATAAAATGCCTGAGGATGAGGTAAAAGGGTGATCTCTGGATTAAACATTGGGGTTATAACTTTAAGGATGGAAGTACCTTCCCCTTGAGTCTGAGAAGAAGTAGAGAGGTAAGCTATCAGGACTCTGACATGGCCAAGTGAAAATGAGACTGTGGGCTTCAATATTTTCTACAGGCCTAGAGGATTTGAGGAAGAACTTCTAACTCATTTCAAAAGACGCAATCTGCCTTGTTCTCACTTACATAGACAGCTGCTTCTTAGCACTTCTCCCTCCTGCATTCGTCTTCGTGGGTTTACTGCTTGCTCCAACTGGGAGATGATATCAGGTTTAGAAAAAGGAAATCCTATTCAAGGGAAAAAAATGGAATGTGATTGTAAGTTCAAAATACAAAGCACCACCCCATCCTCAGTTTGACTCTGTTGCATTTTAGAGTGCAGAAGACAAGATAATTTTTCAAAAGCAACTAAGTATTTTCTACCCAAATAAGGTGACAAACGGTTAAAGGATTCGATCTGGATTCTGGGAGGAAACAATAACCAAAGCATCATTTGTTATTATCCCCTAATAGGAACAAGGAATCTTTAGAAAGCAAAGGTATCTTCAAAGGTGGATCTGAGGTGAAACGGCCTAAGCTTACCCAAGGAGACCAGGTTCCTATAGTTCTCTAGCATTACATCCCTGTACAAGACTCTCTGAGTAGGGTCCAGTTCTCTCCATTCTTCCTCAGTGAAGTTCACAGCCACGTCCTTGAATGACACAAAGCACTGAAACACCTGCATGGGGTTCTGAAGAAAAGGTTGAATGAGGCAGAATTAGGGGAGATGGATGGGATGGAGAGAAAATGGATCCAACCATGTTCATAGTGTCAAAGACAAGATTTTATTGACTCATATATTAAAGAATCTTAAAACGTGTATACCCTTTTGTCATAATTTTATAGTAGTTTTATATATAGAACTGAATTATAAGAAAATCATCAGAAATATGGAGAAACAGTTATAAACAAAGAATCATATCTATTTATAGCTTAAAATGGCAAAATAGTTCTAAATAATGTAAATGTTTGAGAGGTGTCAGAGCAGCTAACTGTTCAAGAAAATACACTGCTTCCTCTCCTTTCTAGGTACACAAACATTTCCCAATCTCCTCTGCAGTTAGATGTGGCCATGAGATTCTAGTCAATGGAGTGCAAGCAGAAGTAATATGTACCATTTCCAGGCTTGCCTCACATATATTCCTCCATGTTGTTTTCCCCTTCTGACTGGCTGGTATGGACAGAGCCCCCAGAGTGAGTCTGAAAGCCATGTGGTAAAGATAGCTTCAGATAGCTCAAGTCCCTGAATGGCCACCCTATCAATCTGTTGACCTTCTCATATGGTTATGAGAGCAAGAAATACACTTCTGTTGTATTAGAGCCATTACATATTTTGGGTCTATTTGTTACAACAGTTATTATAAGCCAACCCTAACTAATTCAGAAATTAACAACTTGAAGTGGGAGGCATCGTAATGAAAACTTAAAATATACAGGTGGCACTGGCTTGACAATCAGGTGACAGGTTTCAAGGTCAATCAGGTGACAGGTTTCAAGGAAATGGATATTTAAGGCCAGAAAGATGTAGACTCTTGATATATACTGGCAAAATAATTAGCAACTATGAGGGAAGAGTAAATGCTCACTGGGCCTGTGGCTCTAGGGCAATCAGCTGGAAAGAGCCATTCTGGTTTGTGTAGAATGCTACTAGATATGTTTGGCAAAGAAGAAAGAGTTAAACTCAGGAAAGAATCTGCCAATTTTCAAGACAGAATAAAACAGAATACAGAGTCCACAAATTTGGTCCTTCACATGGTTGGAAAATCAAACTGTTTCTAGATCTCATACAATGGGAAATAAGTTGGCTTTGAGCAACAAAGGCCCATTAAAACTTCTCAACTAAACGAAGTGACTTAGCTCTGTAATAAAAAGTCAGATTCAGGATGTGGCCTTCCCACCCAAGCCTATTGTTCAGCTGGCCTTAATGTTATCTTCATTAAGTTAAGAGTGAGACGTGGTAAGTGAGAAACTAAGAAATATACCAAGCCTGCAAATTATATCAAGGAAATATCTTTGGGTATCAGAAGCCTTTTAAGTTTTTGTGGAACAACATATCCATGATTTCAATATACTTCTTTTTTTCCTTTTTCAGAGGAATCAGTATTCTTGATTCCAAGTCATTTATGTCACTGACTTTCTATACGTCTTCCAAGAATCTCATGTTTCAGGACCCACTTCAAATTTCACTGCCTTCATTAGCTTGCGAGTTGCTTAAAAAGATTTTAAAATCCTGGTTGAATGCATAAAGCCTTCCTAAACCTTTCTCAGCCAGACACACTTGCTCACATTCCTCAAAATTCATACAGCATTTTCCCCACAGCACTTTATTACTGAGCAGGCCCTCAATAAATTTGCTGACTTCTGTCATGTAGATTTTCTCCCCAAGGGATTCCAAGCAGATGGAAGCAAGAAATGTGCCATGTGCCTTTGCACGTCTACACCAAATGTCTCAAGCAAACAATGAGAAGCTTGATTGTCACCCTACCATGTTCTAGGAGTCATCCTCCCCAATTATCTGCTAAAGAAGCTTCATCTTCCCCTTCCCTTTTCCACACTGTCAATGGCAGAGGCTGCCATACCTCCTGACCCTTCCTGCTCCTTCCATACAACAGAGGAGCACCCATGCACCATCTGGTTGGTAGTCCATCCCACACACCTGATCCTATCTTTTCAAACTGCTGCTGTTAATGGGGCTGACAAGTTTCATGCTAAGAGAAAGAAATCTATTTGTTTTGGCAATTAAAATGAGATTCCAGGGAAGAGAGAAAATCCCCCAACTCACCTGGGACTTTGTTGTCTGGCAAAGAGCAGCCATGTTTTCTTCCTCAAGACACCCCTTTTGGGAAAGGGCTGAGTCCCTAGATGGCAAAGCTGGAAGGAAATCGATATAGAAGAATCCAGTTCATCTTTATGTATCTCGAACCTATTAGATTATAAACAACCACTTATGACAAAAAATGTGCCCCGACCTTGGCTGTCATATGGTTGGTTTGAAGGATTTTGCAGACACCTAAGTAATGAGGCTTCAAAGATAAACCCAGAGGACAGAATGATTGTAAACTTAATCGGGGAAAGTATGACCGTTAACTGGGTTCAGCATCTATCTACATGAGCTGTTGCTCTGAGAACAAGGTTCCCTGTGACCAAAAGAAAGAGGAAAAAAAAAACAAACCTTAATGTTCAGGCTGGAGAGGAGCTTAGAGACCTCTAGCCTCAACTCCTTTATTCACAAATGGAGAAACCATCCAACTTTATAGAACAAGAAAAAGAAGTCACAGAGGCAAAAGGCAGCAGTGCTCATCCCAGTAGTCACTGTCACAGAGACCTTCAGCCATCTCATAGTAAATATTCCAAGCCCACGGTAAGTCTGTGGCCATCTTAGGTCTGTTCCACCACACACAATCCACTAAATTGCAGCGAGTCATCTCATTCACCCCCGCATCCTAAGCACCTGGCACAGCAGACCCAAAGTATTGTGAATGAATTATTGAACAACCCACTTCACTCCCTTTGTCTAAGTCCATGCCCATCAAGCAAACTTCTGCTTATGATTTACTTATCCATTTTTATTTTTTGCCACAGGGAGAAAACTACTGATCATATTAACTCTGAGTATTTCTTTGAGCTTACCTCTGGGTCATAGGGTTGCATGCTATTTATGTTATTCTATATATATAGTTCTGTATTTTCCTAATAAGCTACAGTTTATTATTTCTTTAATTGTCCCTCCCCCATCTCCAAAAAAGCAGTACTTAAAACTTGTGGATTTTTTTGGGAAAGAAGTATTTCTAGCCCTCAGTAATTATAAACTGTACAGGGTTTCACAATTTTTTAAAGTCCATGCCTCCCACAATCCTTTCTCACTAGAACATTGGCCCTGGGGTCTCCCTGCCTGCCTTAAATGTTGGTTCTGTATGACCATAGGAAAGTTTCTTCTGGGCTTCAGTTTCTTCATTTTAAAAAATAATAATGGTACCTACCTCACTGCATTGTGCATTAATGCAAATATAGGGCCCAAACCAGTATCTGGTACAGAATAAGCACTCAGGAAAGGTCATTTAATCATGAGTTAATTATTATTCTCAATACCTTCTGCATATCAACACAACAAGACTTTACAGTGTTTTCTTTCTATACATTGTTTTATGGGGGGGAAAAAGGTATAATCAGTATGTTTGATCACACTCCCAAAGCCCCACTTCCCTACAAGATGCCTGCCCCCTTCCTGTGCTAGATACTGACAACCCATAGGGGTAAGGTAGAGATAGGAGCTCCTAAGTTCCAGGGCCTCCAGATAATCAGAGGGGCTGAGGGCAGGATGTTATGGGAAAGACAAACAGCCCAGAGATAGATTATGGAAATCCCTTCTGATCTGGGCCATCCCTCTGTACCTCCTTAAGAAAGAGCACTTTTTAATTCTGCCACATTGGGCAGCAGGTCCATGGACCCTGAATATGCAGGCCCCAGCTCTACACCTGAGCTCACAGAAGGTTCAAGGGACTAGGGCTCTCCCATATTCTACAATGCCAAATCAAATCAAATCATCAGCTTCTCCACACCCATTTCCTTATCTCCTTCCAAGGATTCTGACTTGCCCCCTCTCTCATCCTTCAGAGAGGCAGCTGTTACAATGGAAAGAGTACGAAGGTAAGACATCTTATTTTCTCAGAGCTTCAAATAAAAAGGGAATGATATTAGTAAAATTACTACCATTCGTCACACACTCACCATGTACCAAGTGCTTTCCATAAATCACTATTTACCGATGAGGAAACTGTTAATTTGCCCAAGGTCTCAGTGCTGCCCACACACATTTTACAAGGTTGCTGCAAAGAAAAACTAAAATGAGGTTATGTGTGCACACTGTAGGTGCCCAGCCAATGGCAGAACCCTCTCTCACTTGTATTCCTTACCTCTGTTCTGGAGTTTGTGGGTCCAATCCTCCATGATCACAGCTTTTGCACCACCATTTGGGTATAGCAACCTTTCCCAAGTCCTCCACGTCTCTTCCTGGGAATTGCCAGCATTCTCTCAGAAACTCTGGCAAGAGATTCTGATTGAATTTTTCTTTTTCATTATATTTCTTTTTTCATTCTCTGAGACCCTACTCATAACACAATTAGGGAGTCTAAAACAGTATCTTTTGAACTAAGGCTAAAGTCAAGAACTTCTGCAGCCACTCAGTCTCCAGGAAGTCCCAAACACAGGCAAGACTCAATAGCTTTACCCCAGGGCCCTGCAGAGTCAGACACCCAGAAACACAGACAATCATAAACAACATAAAGATGCTGTTACCAACATGCCTGATGAATCCACAAGTGCAGGACACGGTGAGAAAGTCCCCTACTGGGAGTGACGGCACCTGGATTCTAATTTCTACTATGTGCCAGTTGGCTGGGTGACCTAGAACAAGTTACTGTTCCTTCCTGGTTTTCAGTTTCTTTTTATGTACAAATGAGGAGATAGATGCCTGTTAGTAATCATCTCCATTACTGATTGAGCCCTTACTTGGTGCCTGGCTCTGTGTCAACTGTCTCATGTCAAAATTCAATTTAATCTTCACAACCATAACTTAAAAGTAGGTACAATAAACATTTCACAGATAAGGATCCCAAAGCTTAGAGTGCAGTAACTTGCCCACAGTCACATCATAGAGCAACTCCGCTCTCTTGAAAGGTAGACAAACGGATCTCTTACATCCATCTCCTCCCTCATTAACGCTGTCAATCCATAAAACGGTTCCACACTGAAGGCTGCAGGGACACACAGATGCGTTGGTCTCTGACCTGGCCCAAGCACTGGGAGTCTTGGGCGCTACGTGCCTCACCTTCCAGCCAAGCGCTTCAGGGTACGTGGGCCCTCAGCCTGTTTCCGAGCGAAGGACCCAGAGGTGTCTCAGATATTAAACACACACGTACCCCACTGTTAGGCACACAGAAAACGCTCCTGGGGCCGAAGGGGCGGGTCAAGGTGGCCGAGCCCCGACGGACACCGCCCCAGCTCCAGCAGAAAGAATTATGGTCGGATCAGTGGGCCTGGAGAGAGACTCAGAGGGGCGCAGCTGGGCCCCCAAATCTAGCAATCCCCTGCTGGACACACACCCTCCCCAGCATCTGCGCCTCCCGTGTCCAGACACTAGGAGGGTCTCTGCTCAGAAGAGCGAAGACAGCTTCGCCGGGTGCAGAACGTGTCCATACAAAGGGGCCGGAAGCGGAAGTGCGCGCCGAGGCTCCTGGGAAATGTAGTCCGGCTCAGCCGGGTCGCCGGACTGGAACTGAGACCCTGCCCTGCCCTCCGAAACCCCGGCTCGTTCTGCAGGCAGAGACAAGCCCTCGCGCGGCCCTGAAAAGCAGTGTTACCGTTGGCCTCTCCGGCGAAAGCGGACGGGAGCTATTGGGAGCGTTTAATAAACCATCAAGGACTGTTGAGAGTTTTTTAGGGAAAGAAGATGGGAGGTCGAGAGAGCAGAGGTCCCAGTGGGCTTGTCCCCTTTGTCGCTCTCCACAGAATAAGCGGGGCTGCAGCACTACTTCATAGCGCTCGACACACAGTTCCGCGCCTGAGGTTCTCTTTCCAGGCATCCTGACGGATGCCTCACGCTCTCACATTCTGGCTGCTGTTGCACACAACGAGTGGCCCATTCACTGGTTCCGCCTCCTCTGCACCCTTACCTGAGAGCACGTCGTCCTTTGACCGCCGTTTGGGTTCCTGTTACTGTAGTGCTGTGTTCTGATTCATGGAGAGGTGGGGCCCTTCCTAGGCCATCTTAGCCCCACAGTGTTTATATGTCTCTGCCCAGAAAAGTGCCGTGTTATTCCTATTTGCTATTTCGTGTTTCCTAGCCAGTTCATATGCATCATTCCTCCAAATCCCTTGGTCATTGATTTTATATTTATCCAGGTTCCATTAATTCAGCCTCTTGGGAGTACATTCTGCACCCCACTCTCCATGACAGGCCCATCGGGATTTAGTCCTACTCAGTTCTGCTGGGACAAGGATGAAGACAGCTGAGTTGTTGCTCTCCTGTTTGTTACTTCCGGAATCAGGAGGTGTTGGGAGGGTGCACACTCCAACTTTTAGGACAACCCCAGGCCAACACTTCCACCAGCTGAGATCTCTACCTAAATTCAGCCTATCCAATCTTCACACCTGCACTCTGGATCCGGTCTTTCCAAGAACTATTTTGGCCAGCATGTGACAGACATCCACAAAGATGCTACTGTAAAGAAAGAAAAACCTCAATCATGAGATCCTTGGGCCAGGATTTCTGAAGAAATGCTAAGGCCTCTACAATTTGGGGTTCAGTGATCCCCAAGAGAAGCTCCACAGGACACTCTACCAGCTGAACTTCCCCTTCTTTTCCCTCCCCCCAAAATCCCCAAAGCCTTCAGAAGTCGCTTTTGATAATGGTTTATTACAAATATTAGCATAATAGGTGCAACAGGAATGGCAAGTTGTTGACAGTTGTTGACAGTGACTGATAGATATATAAGGATTCATTATGTTTTGCTGCTACTTTTGTGTATGTATGAAAATTTCCATGAAGTAAGTTTTAATAATAAAAATTAAATTTAAAAATATGGCAGGTTAGATCATGCCTCTTCTACATTTTGTGGGTCCAATCCTCCATGATCACAGCTTTT